CTCCTCCACTAATAGTAAATATATATCCACTTGTGGACTTAGAATCAGTTGAACCGGTGATTCAATTTGCATCACAGTATCCCTCAATCACCGCAAGATATTTACTGCAGTGCAAAGCAAAGTCCTGGGTATGTTCTAAATATCCCAAAACTCGTTTCATTCCCATCCAATAAGATTGACCTAGATTGTTTGTGTATCTACTCAGTTTACTTATAGCACAAGCTATATCTGGTCGTGTATAATTCATGATATACATTAAGCATCCCAACACATGAGCATAATCCAATTGTGATATGATTTGGCCTCTGTTCTTTGCTAATGCAAGATTCACGTCAATTAGAGTTTTTGCAACTTTAAACCCTAAGTGCTTGAATTTTCCAAGTATTGTCTTAATATAATGAGATTGTGACAATGCAAGACCTTGTGGAGTCTTATGGATCTTAATCCCCAGAATTAAATCAGCAACTCCCAAGTCCTTCATATCAAACTTGCTAGTTAGCATACGCTTAGTCGCATTTATGTTGGCAATGTCATTACTCATTATCAACATATCATCCACATATAAGCAAACACTGACTATGTGATTTGGAACATTTTTAATGTACACACATTTATCACATTCATTTATCTTAAAATCATTTGACAATATTGTATGGTCAAATTTTACATGTCATTGTTTAGGTGCTTATTTTAGTCCGTAAAGGGACTTAACAAGTCTATATACATTCTTTTCTTCAGCTGGAACCACAAACCCCTCAGGTTGTTCTATGTAGATTTCTTCCTCTAAGTCTCCATTCAAGAAGGCCGTTTTAACGTCCATTTGATGAATTTCAAGACCATACACTGCAACTAATGCTACTAACATTCGTATGGACGTAATTCTTGTAACTGGAGAGTATGTATCAAAGTAGTCTAGACCTTCTCNTTCAAGACCTTCTCGTTGTCTATGCCCTTTGACTACAAGTCTTGCCTTATATTTATCAATAGAACCACCATCTTTCATTTTCCTCTTAAAAATCCATTTAGAACCCATGTATGGTTGTTCAATATGGATTTTATTTCACTATTGACTGCCTCTTTCCAAAATAATGATTCCGAAGAAGATATAACTTCTTTAAATGTTCGAGGCTCATTTTCCAATAAGAAAGTCAGAAAATCCGGTCCAAATGAAGTAGACGTTCTTTGACGTTTACTACATCTTGGATCCTCTTGATTAAATGTACTTTCTTTTGTTTCTTCCCAAGGTCGTTTAGATCCTTCACCAATCGACTCACATTCCTTTTTATACGGGTATATATTTTTAAAGAACTCGGTATTATTTGATTCTATAACTGTATTATTATGAATGTCAGATTTTCTGATTTATGAACCAGATTTTGGTATGCTTTACTAATTGTCACATATCCTATGAAAACACAATCAATGGTTTTCGATCCTATTTTTACCCTTTTGCGTTTAGGAACTTGCACTTTTGCCAAATACCCCCACACTTTAAAATAATTCAAGTTGGGCTTCCTTCCTTTCCATTTTTCATATAGAATGGATTGTGTTTTGCTATGGGGTACTCGATTTAGTATCCGGTTAGTCGTAGGAATGGTTTCCCCCTACAAGTTCTGTGGCAAACCAAAACTTATCAACAATGTGTTCATCATCTCCTTTAATAAACGATTCTTTCTTTCCGCAATCCCATTGGATTGGGGCGTATAAGGGGCTGTTGTTTGATGAACAATTCCATATTCTAAACATGTTTCTTCAAAAGGAGATTCATATTCACCACCCCTATCACTTCTTATCATTTTATTTTTCTTGTTTAGCTGTGTTTCAACTTCATTTTTGTATTGCTTGAATCCGTCTATTGCTTCATCTTTACTATTAAGTAAGTAAACATAGTAATATCGAGTACTGTCGTCAATAAAAATTATGAAATACTTCTTTCCACCGCGAGATGGTATAGACTTCATGTCGCAAATATCTGTATGAATTAATTCTAAAGGATTTGAATTTCTTTCAACTGACTTATAAGGATGTTTAATATATTTAGATTTCACACATATTTGACATTTTGATTTATCGCATTCAAACTTAGGCAATACTTCCAAGTTAATCATTTTCCGCAAGGGTTTATAATTGACATGACCCAAACGTATGTGCCATAAATCATTTGACTCAAGTAAGTAAAAAGAAGGTGAAATTTTATTATTATTCTCAACAACCATTACATTCAGCTTGAAAAGGCCCTCTGTGAGGTAACTTTTTCCTACAAACATCTCATTCTTACTTATTACAACCTTATCAGATACAAAGACACATTTAAACCCGTTCTTAACAAGAAGTCCAGCAGAGACTAAGTTCTTTCTAATCTCGGGAATATGAAAGACGTTGTTTAGAGTCACCACCTTGCCAGAAGTCATTTTCAGAAATATCTTTCCACTTCCTTCAATTTTGGCTGTTGCAGAATTTCCCATAGAAAGCGACTCTTTGGGTTAAACGGGATCATATGTAGCAAATGCTTCTCTAATAGCACAAACATGACGAGTGGCTCCAGAATCAATCCACCACTCCTTAGGATTTCCCACCAGGTTGCATTCAGAAAGCATTGCACACAAGTCATCAACATCTTCGTGCTTTTCAACCATGTTTGCTTGACCCTTCTTCTTGTCTTTCTTCGGAGCATGACAATCTGTAGATTTGTGTCCAGCTTTCCCACAGTTGTAGCAATTTTCGTTGAACCGCTTCATGCTTGGGTTGTTTTTCGATCCAGAAGCTTGCTTCCTCTTTCTCTTATTTTGAGGAGTATCCTCAACAATATTTGCTCCCATTATTGTTGAGTTTCCACTCTCTTTTCAGCAGCTTTGTTGTCCTCTTCGATTCTCATCCGAATAATGAGATCTTCAAGCGACATCTCCTTGCGTTTGTGTTTCAAGTAATTTTTGAAGTCTGTTCCACAAAGGAGAAAACTTCTCGATCATCGCTACAACTTGGAATACTTCATTGATGACAAGACCTTCAATGAAAATTCTGTTAGTAAACATAATAAAATTAATACTTTCAACATCAGTATTAATTCTACTTATACCTTCAACAAGGAGATCGTGAATAATCACTTGCAATTCTTAAACTTGGGTAATAACAGACTTGCTATCTACCATTTTATAGTCCAAAAATTTAGCGGCAACGAATTTCTTCAACCCGGCATCTTCAATTTTGTATTTCCTTTCAAGCACAATCCATAGTTCTTTTGACATCTCCACATTACTATAGACGTTATACAGATCGTCCTCCAGTCCGCTAAGAATGTAATTCTTCCACAGAAAATCAGAATGCTTCCACGCCTCAATCACGAGAAAGCTTTCATTCTCTAGAGTTTCATCGGGCAGAACAAGAACATCTTCCTTAATGAACTTCTGCAGACTCAAAGTAGTCAAGTAGAAGAACATCTTCTGCTGCCACCGCTTGAAATCAATCCCGAAAAAAATTTTGGGTTTTTCTGCCGGTGTTGTTCGGCTTGTTGATGCATTGGCAGTCACCATAGGAACAGTCTGGTTCCGTTGTCATTCGTCATTTCTGTAAAAGAATGACACGACGTCAAAATCACGTAGATTTTAATCTCCAATGAAGTAGAAAACCACAAAGGTTTTACTCTCCAGAAACATTGAGTATAACACAAATACAGAAAATAATTAAGTTCCATAAGCTTGTTAGTATCTTGTATTTGTAAAATAATTTTGGAGAATATGAAATAACGTATAAACAAAAATGAAAAACAGAAATAGAATTTAATCCGAACCCATTGAATTCACAGTGGTTCCTTAAGGAACTTAATCCCCTCCTAGCACCCAAGGTTGTGGATTATTTCCTCCCAAGATAGAACGAATACACACTGTGTAGCTGTCATTCAAACCCCAGTATGTCAGCGAACACAAAGATCAGTGGCAAATCACACTTATTGTTTCTTTCTTAGTAGTTAAAACAATGCAGAAGAAAGGAGGAGAAGTCAGAAATTCGTATGAAAAATCTAAGAGAATGGACAACTTATTTATAGCCCCAACCTATTGAGTTCAAACGAAGAGAGGTCAGTTACGTAAAACGGCCATAACGTAAATGGCCATTTACGCAATTGGATTATTAATCTTCCGTTACAAACACGGATATTTAATAATATTACGTTAATATTTATTATTAACAACTAAATTTGGCAATAAAATAGCAGCTTTAAATACTACAAACGTTTCGATCATGTGACTTCTGCTCTTTTCGAACTGCAGATTGTGTTGTACACATGTCATTTGTTTACTTATCTTGATCTCTTACTTGATTATAGATTAGATTAACACTACTAGTCAAGTCAACTCGAAGTATTCCATAGTTATTTATTAAATGTGAATTGTTGGTTTTTTCCCCTATGAAACGTAGTCCTGCACAAAATATAACAAAATTCGTTGATAAAATATTTGCTCTAATTCTTCTAAGACATGCTTCAATATTCCTTTTGGTTGCTTACTGCCACCTGAAACTCACCATTTTGGCGCTATAGAGAAATATTAGTAGTGGTGAGAGTGAGCCCCTTTAGCAAACTCACAAGCAGTAAAAGTGACAATCCAGGATCAATACAACGCACCAAACAGTCAATAAGAATTAATATCAGGATAACTAATCCCAGCATAGCTTGTCTTCAAACCAAATGACCCCTTTTCATAGGGATAAAAAAAACACTACAATCCCGAGATAATTGATACCGGGATTAATTATACCGCAATTTTTCCCCAACCAAACATAAGATAAACTCTTCTAAAATTTAGTCCCGGAATTAATTATTCATTGTCTCTCGTACCAAACGAGCCCTTAGTGTCTATGTAGTTCAAAAGCTTATACATATATGCAAACATTTATTGACCTACACGCAGTGTAAACTCTCAGCGAAAATATTAAATTGAACCCCTTTCAAACCATGTAACTCTACCCCTGCTCATGAGTATGGTTCAGAATCTTTGATTAAGAAGTAATGGCTCAAGTCAGCACGACGCTTGTATTTCTCAAATTTTGAACTGTAAAAGACTTTTACAATAGACCGAAAATGAGAAGGAATTTCTACCATCGCAGTAACAAACACGCTAAAAGTAGCCTCCTAAGAAGGCTTCCACCAACGACGACAGAATGAGAAGACAAAGCCTACAAAAAGCAAGATTATCTTGTTCGTTGTAGGTATTGTCTGAAAATAAAACTCAAAGCAATCGCGATACCTAGTAAACATACTGTCCAAGATTTGAACTGAAAAGTTGCAAAGTCTCAATCATTCAACAGTTTGAGCTTCTACTACTGAATATGTCCAAGAAAAAAGTGCAGGAATAGCGCTCACAGTCATCCAGCTGTACAGTTTGATATCAAAATGGAGATTTTACTGGTTCGCTCTACTCCCTAGCTCCTACGCTGCTTGCATCCGTTAAAATTGTTAACCTTCGTGCTGTTTTCACAAAGTCACTGCAAAAGAAATGCAGACTAATTAACAAATAAAATGGTTTTGGAGTAAATTTGTGTGAAGCCGGAGTGCAGAATATCACACACAGGGAAGTTAAAGACAAACCTAAATGGTTCATCACCAAGTTGCTTCACCGCACCAGTGATATCTCGGTAAAGCACACGATTAAGCATCTCCGGAATTTTAATGCCAAATATATTGGACAACTTCTTGTGTAACGCCTCGTACGATCCCAGCTCTGATAGTTCCAGTGTTAGTCCTACATCTTCTGATTCTATGAAAACTTTACAGTGTCCAATCTCTACATTTTGCTCAGATAGACCATGATGATCAAACGTAAAAGCCGATTCATCGGATATGTTCCCTATTTTATCTGCATTCCCATCTGAAGAACTAGCCCTTGCACAAACAGGAGAAACCGTATCTCCTGAGCTGCTTAGAGAGATCTGCTGTTCAGTAAATATGGGTTGACCAAAGAGTACAAGTTGTGGTGCTTTGTCACAATCAGATTTGGTCGCTGTTTCGGTAGAACTTCCAAGTGTTAGTAAACAAGACATATCATTGCTGCTACTTGGCTTGGGAATTAATGTACTATTGGAGGGACTAGGGGTTGCAGCAGCATGATCAAGTGGTGGAAAACCGACAGGAAACGGACTTGAATGCAGCTTATTGAAGTGGAGATCTGATAATGAGAAACCATATTGGGTATGCCTGGCTCCCTGCATGCCAGCAGGGGTGTCGTTGGGAAGAAAGTGGTTGTCGGGAAAACCCGGCATAGGTAGATGACAGTTAAGAGGAAAATCTGAACGTTGAAGTAATCGAGGTTTCTTCTGTTGGGGTGAGACGGGAGAAAAGTGGACGGTGGGCATGTTTGAGACTAATTCCACAAGCCATGGGTTGACACACTTTACATGTTGAAGCAGATCTGGCTCGTCCCATGTCACCTGCAGCAGTAAACCTCAACTTAGAGATAAACAATATTGAAGTAGCTAGAATAGCTACTTTCAACCTTGTAAATCAGCTCTGTGTTTGGAAAATCACGCTTAACATCTTTTACCACTTCGAAAAGGACTGAATAAAGGAATTAGATGCATTACAGAATCATACAAATAGTGTTCACAGGTATTATTCAATTGAGTTCACATAACAGTAATCCACACTCTCCAACTTCAAGAGGTCACATCTCATCAAAAATACTTGTTACGGAGAATACAAGCTCACTGAATAAAAAGGGTAAGAAATAGTGCGTCATTTTACTCTTGCAAAGAAACAGATACATTAAAGTCAGAAGTATGATGTAATTGTTTCTGAACTTAGATTCTCATACCTTTACATTCTCTCAAAGAATGCATGCACAGAGCAAAGGCCAAAAAAGTAATATGACAGATCAAAACATGATACAGTGAATAGAGATCAAATTACCTGAAGAAGCCGCCAGGGCGAATCTGGCCATCGAATGGGATCAGCAACCTGAACAGAACATATAGTTCCCATGAACCAGCTCATCGTTGAGTCTTCAGTTTCGACGGCCATCTTGAACCTCATTCCCGAGCACCAACGGATCTGCAATGCCGCCTTCACACTTGAGGCCTTCACAAAGAACTCTGGAGTGCTAGCACGGGGGTAGAAAGTAACCTCAAAGGGCTGTCCACTAGCTGCAAGATTTGCAGCTTCAATAACTGATTCCGCCTTCACTTTTCCCCTCTTCATTAGTTTATTCTCATCATCCCTGAGAAAAGTGGAAAACCCTCTGTATGGTACCGCGAAAGAAGTCTCATGTCCACCTGCAATTCCCTTCTTTACTCGGCGAATGCCCACACAAACATCCCCATTTTCAGCCCTCATGAACACAATGGAATCCCCCGCGACGAGCTTTTTTGAATTCACAAAAGTAGTCCAACCGGTCGTTAAAAGATGACGCCTAGGTGTTCCTCGGTAAATATGTCTGAATTTCCATGTCTTCCCGTGAACATCCTTCGCTAGTAAAGTCTGGACAGGAGGATCTGCAGAGTAGTCCAAGCGAGGAAAGATCGTATCTGCACAATACCTTGGAACAGAAAACCCCCCACCATTATTCGCATCTGATTGCGTTAATATCTTTGCAAATGAAGTCGGATTTTCCTGATCATTATCCAACCCGCTTTTCGCAACCACCCCATCATCAACAATTTCAACCTCATTACTACTAACAGGTGTCAACCTAATTTTGGCAAAAACCTCATCATTTTCTTGATCTGCCATGTATTTAATACCTGAAACTCTACAAGGAATATATGATGGAATCCTAATTTCACTCCTAAACTCCACATTTCCACACGCGTGCTCAGCGTGTCCTTGAGGAAAGTAGAACACTATTGAATTAACTGCAGGCATTTGTACAATACTACCAGCACAGGCATGCCAAAATTTAGAATCTAACCACTTCTCTTCTTCTTCCTTAGAAGTAATCATCTTCAAATTAACAGATTCTGTAGAAATGCAATACACCCTTTTCATTAATTGACACACTTTTAATGGAAATGCTGTCATCAATGTAAAACACATTCTTTAGGTATACTAATAGGACAATCAAATGAGAAGAAAAAAAAGGTAAGTAAAATAAATTCAACTAAAATGGATTGAAGTAAAGTCCATACCTTTCTATATCTGCAAAAGCATCTGAAAATCAGAAAATTGCTCCAACAAGTAGTCTCTTTTAAGTCCCAAAAAGAAGTCAAATTCTTGAAAACTTCCTCCAAGAAAAAAAGGCCGCAAAACACAGAAAATTTGTTGAATTGCTGTAAATTTAACACGAAAAAGATTTCAATCTTGAAGCCTCCAGCAGCGTATATTCAGCTTTGAGTTCAAAATCAAGCAAGAAAAAGAATCCAAATTTTATTCTAAAATCAAGAACTAATACAACTCTCTTCGCCGAGAACCAACTTTGACACTATTTCTCCAGCACCCACAAAAAAAATAACAGTAACCCACTAAAACAATTCACCAGAAAAAAAACACAAGAATTAACCTTGAATTAGAAGAAAAAGATAAGAAAGAAATACCCTAGCAAAAATCGGAAATCATGGAAAGTTGAAGTGCCTTTAGCTACAAAAAATTACTTGTCATTTTTATGTTTCTAAAATGCACTAATGCTTAATCATCATACAAATATGTATATATATGCATATGCTTTATATATGCATTTTGACAATTATTTACGTGTCAGTCAATGTGGAGGTAGTCTTTTTTTTCTGTCACTCTCTCTCTTAGAAATATTTATAACTTTTCATGCATTTTTGGTTGGTTAATTAAACAATGATTTTTCTGACCTTTTTCTTCGGATCTGAAGAAACTCTACCGTATCTTTCAGAAGCTACTAAAACAACAAAGATCTTAAACCAAGCTATCTATTTCACTATTTTTTAAGGGTAGTTTCCATTTTATAAGTAAAAATAGTTTTGGGATAAAAATTTAGTATTGTTGTATCCTTTATTTGGTTACTAATTCTATGATAAATTATTTCATGATTAAAAATAGTATCGGGATAATTTATAAGAGTACCTGTCAGAGGGTGGAATAGTAATCCAGGATAAATTATCCCAGAATAAAGTATTAAAATTGACAATCTCATGATTAATACAACATATCAAACAGTCAATAAGAAATAATACAAAATAATCAGGGGCGGCTCAATAAGTTTGGCGGCCTAAAGCCAAACTTTAATGAGATGCCTTATATTATCCTATATTATTTTTTTGAAAGTAGATTTTTCTAGCTTTTTCAGTATAAAAATTTTAATAATATTTTGCATAAACCACTTAATCTCTCATATAACATTATTGATCTTAAGTAATAGAACCCGATTCAAGAAGTTGATAGCTTTATATCAGAATAATGTTTTGATGTTTTAATATACTTGTTACAATGATGGAAACCTCAGGAAAAAAAACAAAAAGAAAAACAAAAAATAGAGTTTAAAATGTATTACTAATTATCTAATGATAATGTAATCTTTTCTTTATATAAAATATTTACTTTTCTACTTTGAAATATCTAGTAATACTTTCTAAAAAAGATTGGGGCCTCACCAGAAGAGTTGTAGTGGGATAGATATAATATTTCATTCCTTAACCGGAGGTATTTGGTTCGAGTCTTGGGAATGAAAAAAAAAATATTTCTAAGGTGTGTTTCTTACTTTAATGGACTTTATATGATACGAATTCGAATTAGTCAAACCTTAAATCAAATATCGGTCATCGAGTAGGAATTAAAAAAAAAATGGGGCCCCAAAAATTCTGGGGCCTAAAGCCCCCGCTTTAGCGGCTTCACCCTCTGGTCGGCCCTGAGAATAATTAATCACAACATAACTAATTTCAGCATAACTTGTTTTCAAACCAAACGACCCCTAATATTATTAGGTACACGTTTAGGGTGTCATATTCATAGTTCTTACATTGATAAAAAAAAAAAAACATTAATTTAGTTATTCTCTTGAATTTATGTATAAGGGAAGTTGGATTAATTTAGAGTAATTATCACAAAACTTGATTACATCAAGCTGTGCTAGTGAGTGAATGATGTGAAGTCAACTAACTGTGAACTAACCATGGTTGAGGAGGGAGTTTAACCATGGTTAACTAACTGTACTTTTGCCAAGTTTTGGGTTAAAGTTGCGACTACTTAATTTGGTGATGTTTCCTCGTAGGATTAAAGGGTGGTCAGGTTTGCAACAAAATTATGTTGGGATTATAATGCAATAGTTGTGTTTACCCGAAAAATCGGATAAAGTTAAATTTGAGTATGGTTCCAAGGATATGTGACATAATTTGATACAAACCGTATAGAGAAATAGTAATATCTATGTTCTTGACTATGAGAATTAGAATAGTAAGCAAGAAGAATGAATAAGATAAAGTAAAACGAGCACAAGGGGATATCTTTCAATATGAGAAGTGATCTTTTGTTACAGTGTGTGAGATTGCCTTATGCTTACAAGGATTCCCCCTTTTATAGTAGAGAGATCCTACTTTATTTACAATAAAAAAAATATATATTGGAGAACCCATGATGAATTATCTCTTCCTCGATTCCCGTCAAGATTCTCTCCCTTAGTGCGGTTGTAACAACTCTTGTCTGCGAGCTCGATACTGGCTCGAACTCGTTATTGGGTCGAGCCCTCGGCTTTGGCTTGAGTTCGACCTTCGGGGTAGGTGTAGCGCATTTCCGACCACCCTCACGTTGCCTTGCGAATCGATTTAGTCATGGGCTCAATAATAGTATCGAGCCGATTCCTCGATCAGTCTTTGGAACTCGAGGCTCGTTTGTATTGTCTTCGGAACTCATCCCAAAATCCCACTCCGGTTGCTTACCATTTGAACTCGATCGAACGTAGGAAGGCCGAAATCTATTTCGACCGTATACAGATAGTCCCCTCGTTTCTGAAGAAAGATGTGGTGAGAATCAATATGATTTTCGACGGTTCGATCGGGTTATAAGCTGACGTTTTCACAGGGCTCGATCATGACATATATGATAGTTGTCCCATCGATTTAGTCTTTCAAGGTATTTAATGCATGTCAGACGGTGGTCGGTCACCGCTGATACTGAACCGCCACGATGTAAGCCTATAAATAACCCCTCAATCTAACATTTACCACTTTTACGTCTTCACTCTTCCAAATTTTCTTACTCTCTCTCTCTCTATTTCGCCGCTTGCAGAGCCATCTACACCAGCATTTGGCATCATCAACTTTTCATCTTGCTTTGCCTTTCTTTCTCTCATATCAATGGCCAAAACTTCGAAAACTGTGCCTCAGAAGGAGAAAGCTTCCTCATCACGGCCGTCCAGCGACAAGGCGCCGGTGGAGCCGCCTCCCCACGAGTATGTTCCCGGCCCGTGCACTCTGAAAATCGATTTTAAAGTCAAAAATCCTTCGTCGGTTCCGGGCCGATGTGAGCATGTGTCGATGTACATGTGCTCGATAACAGAGGGCCATCTCGAGGCTGTGAGGAAAGACTGCAACTAGGGTCCCGAGGTTATGTTGCAAATCCCCTCTTCCGAAGAGAGCATTACCACTCATGTGGAGGGGTTTTTAAGTGCTTATACTTATCCCTTCACGTTGGGTTCCGTCGACCCAGTGATCATCGATTTTTGCAAAAGATATCAGGTCACCATCGGTCAAATTCATCCTTCTTTATGGCACATAGTAATCTTACTTCGCTTCTTCTCTAACAAGGCCGGGGGGCTGGATTTTACCCTAAATCACCTTATACGATTATACCTGCCTCAAATCTTTCGAGGTCTAATCAGGCTCCATCGTCGGGCATCAAAAGCTTTAATGTCGAGCATCGACGAAGACAAGGATCGGGGTTGGATGGGCCGCTATATTCGGGTGAGGACCCGTGACCTTATCCCGGAAGAGAAGCTGTTGTTCCTCGAGGAGTGGAATTTCGACCGTAATTGATTTTCATAAGGCGTTGTTTTTTGTATCTTTCTTTGATTTTACCTAATATCTTCCTCCGATATACAGCCGCCCCTTGGATGCCACAAGCGGTGCCCGTCTTCGAGGATTGGGTTCAGAAGTTAGCCTCGACTTCCTCTTATGCCGAACGCGCTTAGCGTGATTTGGCGAAAGGCAGGTGGGAGGCCAAGAATCATGGTAAGGGTCTCTTCTTATGTTTTTTGAAACGCTTTTTATGCGCCATTCGTTACTGACTTCCTTTCATGCAGGCGTAACCAAGGATGCCATTTTGAGGCCTCCGAGTGGTGAGGAAGGAACCAAGTCCTCGGTCCCGAAATCGGGGAAAGATAAAAAGCGAAAGGCTGCCTCTCGGTCTGAGGACCCCAAGCCCAAAACTCGAAGAGTGAAGAGGAAAGCAATCGCTCTTTCGATGGACTCGCTCCAACGACTGAGAGGAGGAGGAGGAGGAGAAGAAGAAGAAGAAGAAGAAGAAGAAGAAGAAGAAGAAGAAGAAGAAGAAGAAGAAGAAGAAGAAGAAGATGCTTCGGCTTTGATGGTTCGATCTGCGAAAGCTATCGAGATCACCAGATCTTCTGAGTCGATGATAGCCACACCGGTCGGGGCCGGTTCCAATACACCGAGCCTCGATCAAGGTGTCCCGAGCGATTTGCTCGGTACCATGATAGTGGGTCATTTGCCTTCTCTTCCGACCTTCTCTGAGGAGGCGCTAAAAGAAGCTCGAGAATTGACGACCCCCGATATGGGCGAAGGCTCTAGTGCAGGGGATCCTTTTCGGGATTGCTTCGCTGGAGTTGATGATGCCTCCGATATCGGTGACGCTTTTATTTTCCTAGAAGAGGCCCAACGTTTCATTTCTCGGGTAATGACCTTACTGAGCTTGGTTTCTTCGTTCTTTTCTAAACCTGACTGGTGTTTTTTTTTTCTTCTGCATAGGCCATTAGCAAGTTTCGAGCTGACCTCAGCCAGTGTGAGGTCGAGCTTCATAAAGTCTCGGGGGAGAGAGATGCTCTGAGGCTTCTCTGCAGCCAAAATGATGAGGTTATAAAGGACCTCCAAGCATATTTGGCTAAGGCTCGAGAAGAAGAGGCCGAACTAGATAAGCAGGTAAACCTTGTTCTGTTAGAGTATGGGTTTGATCAAACTGCGGAAGCTGACCCTTCGTTATCTCAGCTGCAGCAAAAAGTCGAAAAGATCGGATTGCTTCGGGAAAAAGTTGATCAAATCAAAGCCGAATGTGATCGGTGGAAGGAGACTATCGACCGTCTGGCTACAGAAAAAGAAACTATCTTGGCCAAATTATTATCGGCCGATGTTCAGTTCGAGACGTTAAGCAAAAAGGCTTGGCTCATGCTAAGAGGATCGGGGAGCTTGAAGCAAGGCTTGCTGAGGCCAAGGCGGAGGTCGAATCATCAAAAGTCATGGCGGACAAGTCTATTGCTATTTATCGGGACGATGCCGAGGTTGCTCAAATGGAGGCAAGAGAGGCAACGGATGCTGCCGACACTCGAGCACATTGGGTTGCCAAACTTGCTAAGTGTTGATCTCGGAGGGAGACCCTTGAGGAGATACACGCTCGAGGTTTCGATCTTGCCGAAGAGATAAAAAGGCCAAAGAACTCGAAGCTGATGTTGAAGCCTTAGTTTCCGATGGCGATGATAATGATGATGATGACGATGATGATGACGATAGCAAGGGCGGGTCCAATGATGAAGGGGAGTCCGGTTGAGAAGAGACTGCTCTTGATGACAACCCAGAA